CGCGTTTGTGGTCTAGTGGTAGAATACCTCGTTGCCATCGAGGTGACCCGGGTTCGATTCCCGGCAGACGCATTTTCTGTTTTTCTTTCCACCGCTTTCCTCGAAAATACTACTTTACGTTCCTGGAACTTGCTGCTGTTTGTTGCGATTTCGTAGAAAATATACAATTAAGTGGGCATTCGCTTATTCGAAACATTTCGTGCCCATGCGCCTTTTTCTCTCTCTCTGTCTTTGTTACTTTTCTTTACTGAGTGGTCGATACCGTCTTTCATTTCTTATTGTTTACGTCTTCCTCATCTGCAGTGTTTGCAAACGGACTAACGAAACAAAGCAAGCCGGTGTTTCATTAACTAAGAGAAGTTGTGTGGAGGATTCAATCTTGTTCCCATATGCGCAATCAAATTTACTTTGTATTCACCTGGGGAAAGTGCAATTGGCTGACGCGTTTGTGGTCTAGTGGTAGAATACCTCGTTGCCATCGAGGTGACCCGGGTTCGATTCCCGGCAGACGCATTTTCTCTTTTCCCCTGTTGATTGCTTGTTTATTTCACTATCCTGGACTTAGAATACACTCAAACAGAGACTATCAATGCGCGAGGATAAGAAGAGGAATTCCATACATATCTCTACAAATGGTGTGTGTACCTCTGATGCATTCATAGTGGTGTTCCCATGGCTACTGCTTCTTAGTTCACTGCACACGCATCTGCAAAGATAGATTTGCTCCTTTACTGAGCTGCCTTCGTTCCTAGAGGAGCGGTGCTACTGAAAGGTGTGCTGTGCTGAGCGGCGTTTGTTTTTGTGTTGCCATTGGTGTGCTATAGGGGAGCAATCAGTTGCTTTCGCTGTGCGTTTCTGAAGTGTAACGAGCCCTGGTGATTCATCATTTTCTTCTTTTTGCACGTAGGGAGGAGCATCTGCGCTGGGGGAAAACAGCAGAGCAGCAGATGCGAACGAACATCATGCGGTGTTTCTTTGCACTGAGCGGCATAACTTTCTGGAGAGGCAGCTGCCTTTGTATGAGACCGTTTCTTCTTCCTCAGGCATGCGAAGGGCAGCTAGAAGCCCCATTTACCTAACCATTATTCGTTCTGCTGACAAGGAAGATTGTTTGCGTTATGGGTATGGGATGAACGGCAGTGCTGCTGTTGTGCGCTCTTCAGAAGCAAAGGACAATACCAGGGTAATAAACAAATATCTCATATACATTAATGGAGTCGTCTGCTTCGACGGCAGCTTCTACTTCTGCTGCAGTTGCTTCCCTTTGTGCTCTGCCAAGAAGGCGGTTGCAATAGCAAACGAGACATAAGAAATTGCTTGAGGGGCCGCTGGTGTTTGTTGCAGGTGTATATGTACACCGTGTCCGTATCCCTCAAGTGTGTTTGCTGGACGGAATAAAGCCCTATGCTGCCTATGAGCCCTTCGTATCCAAGCCAGTGCCCTAACAAGTGAAGACAGCTGTATATGCGCCTAATCTACTTCTGCTACCCCCTCAAGCCAGAAGGGGCATTGCAAAGTGCTGCCAGCATGCTGGGCCGAGAGAGCCAGAGGGGCCTCTTCAGGAGCAGCAGCTGCTGCTAAGAAAACCCCCTCGTCTATCAGGGTGCAGACGGCATAGACAGCCTTCGCCTCCCACGCAGCAGCACACGCCACCCCTGCCAACTCCGTTGTAGGCAGCAACTCGCTTACGAACCTGCAGAAGCAGCACCCGCAACAAAGTATGCTGCGCTGCTGCAGCAGCAAGCTGCACATACACCCCAACGCACCCAACGACCCAACGGCCCCAGCAAATAAAAAAACCTGCAACAAAGAAAACACAAAAAAAACATCACACGTACCAGCTAACCAGCGCATGCGCATGCACTCGCGCTTCCTCTTGAAGACGGTCTAGAAGCCCCATCACCAACCACTGCACCGCCTGCTCCAGCTGCTCATCGCTAATCGGCTCCACGCCTCGCTCTTCTGCTTCTGCTGCTGCAGCATCAGCTGCAGCAGCAGCAAGTTTTGCTGCCTGCTCCTTTATTGCATTCCCCGATGTAGCTGAAGAAGGCGCATGGGCTAAGGCAGGAGGAGATGCCTGCGGTGACCCTGGTAAAAAGGCTGGTCTTCCAACAGCAACGGGAGTTGCTGTTGCTGCTGCTGCTGTTGCTGCTGCTGCTGCTCCACGCGGTAGTCTCGGAGTCGCTCCCCCACTATCAGGAGAAGCAGCTCTTCCTTGGGTAGCCGGCGTTCCCGTTGCTGCTGCTGCTGCTGCTGTTGCACCTGCAGATGGCGTGGCTGATGCAGCTGCGTGCCGTCCAGCGCTGCCGAGCAGTTGTTCATCCTGCGCGGCATCCTGCAGCAGCAACAGCAGCGGCAGCAGCAGCAGGAACCCATAGCAGCATCATACCGCACCCGTTCCGCTCAGCCTCCCGCACCTTTCTGGCATTTCGAACAGGCACTGCGTTCTCGGCTGTTGGGTTGGCTGAAGTTGCTGCCGCAGCAGCAGCCCCAGCAGCAACAGCAGCAGCAGCTAACCTGTGAGAAGATAAAGAGAGGAGGTGGACTCTGGCCCGCGGTAGAGTCTTCCGAAGGATCTGAAGCTGCCTGCTGCAGAAGACAGAGACCGTGCGAATGCAGCAGCAGCGCATCTCTGAAGGCTTGGGCTGCAGTGCGGCGGCTGCGGCCCTGCAATAGCGTCGCCAGCGAGACAGGAGCTGCTGCTGCTCCATCAGTAGCAGCAGCAGCAGGCTGCTGCTGCTGTGGTGAAGTGTACGGACGCCGGCCAACCCCTCCAGCCCCCGGCACGTACTGCCTTTCTACCAACTCCAACAGCTGCACAAAGCAAAACCAACAACACACTCAACGCAACTAGCAGCAGCACGAGCAGCAGCACAAGCAGCAGCAGCAGCAGCAGCAGCACTGCTCTGGATGCCTCCAGGAGGAGAGAAGAAAACGAAGTAATGGCAATCCAGCAGCTGCAGAAAATGCAGCAGCAATGGCAGCACCCAAGTCAGCGAGCAAGAGCAGCAGACACCGCCACCAAGTGGCTGAGCGCAGCAACAGCAGCTTACATCAGCAGCAGAAGGCCCCAGGAGGATAACTTCTCCGTCTTTTTTTCTGTAGACGCCTCGAGGGGCCCGAGAAGCCCCAGCAGCAGTTGGGGCTGCAAGCTGGCGGGGAGTCTGCTGCTGGTGCTGTTGCTTTTCCGCAGAGCCTCGATCCTCAGGCGTTCCCCCATGCCCCTGCTGCACTGCCTGCTGCAACTGTTGTTGCTGCTGCTGCTGCTGCTGCTGCTGGGGGTATTCTTCCAGTGTGTCTGGCCAGGTGCCTTCAGCCCACGGCTCAGAGTCCTTCTCTTCTATGAAATCTGCGGGCGGCAGTGGGCTATCAAACGCCCTTAAGACATTTTCACCTTCCAGGCGGCCAGCACCACTTGCTGCTGCTGTCGCTGCAGCTGCTGCAGCTGCTGCTCCTCCTCCAGGCCCGCCACCGCTGTAGGCGGCTTCTCGGCCAGTTCCCGCTGCAGTATAAACCGCCTGTGTCTTTGCAGCAGCAGCACTATGCTGCTGCTGCTGCTGCAGCTGCTGCTGCAGCGTCTCGCGCAGCACGGAAGCCTCGAGGCAGCAACCACGAAGCGCTGCTGCTGCAGCTTGGGCAGGGGCTGGGAGCATCTCCCACGAGAGTGCATTGGCGAGCAGGACTGCAGCACACATTAGCAGTAGCAGCAGCAGCAGAGTAAATACAACTCGCAAAGCAAGTTGGTGGAGTTGCAGGGACCTGCCGTTCCCTGGGGGGGTGAAGCAGCCGTAGCAGCAGCACCGAAACAGCAGCAGCCGCAGCAGCAGCGGCAGACAGCAGCATGTGCATTATTAAAAGCTGATTTCATCCGCATGCACAGGAAACGAAATCCACAGAGCAAATGCAAGCCAACCCAAAGACGAGACGCGCACACAGCTAGCAGGCAGTTGCCACAGCCACGAGCTGCTGCTGCATCGCTGTATGCAGAGACGGGATTAGAACTGCAACAGCAGCAGCAACAGCAGCAGCAGCAGCAGCAGCAACAACACCAGCAGCAGCAACAGCAGCAGCTACTGGGAATCCAACAGCTGAAAGCAAGCCAAGAAGATGAATGCTTCCACCTACATGCAGCAGTGCGTCTCCCGTCTATTGCTGCTGCTCCGTCCAGCCTCTTACGAGACCCCCGCTGCAGCAGCAGGTGCTGCTGGTGCATCTGGAGCTGTTCCTCTTGCTGCTGCTGCTGCTGCAGCAAGGCGCGCAGGTGCAGCTGCCTTTCCACCATATCCCAGTAGCAACGGAAACTCTTCTTGAGGGCAGCGCCATCCTCCGTGCCGGCCTCCAAAAGACGCAAAGAAGCAGCCACCGCCTCATGCAGGCGATAAGCCCCTGCCTTGCTGCTGCTGACCCTCCCACGTGCTGCTGCTGTACCTCGTGCTGCACCTCTTGCTGCAGCAGCATGGAGGGCAGAGCGCGAGATGGCTTCGTCCAGCTGCACCTTTTGCTGCTGCTTCTCCTTGCGCCTGCGCTTATCCTTTGCAACCAGCTGCTGCAGCTGCAGCTGCTGCCCAGGAACTGCTAACGCCATCTCCAGTTCGCCCTCAGCAGCTGCTGACGTGCCCGCTGCTGCTGCATCTGTTGGGGTGCCGTGGCTCCATCCTGCTTCCTCCTCTGGAAGCTGCCAGTCCCCCAGGCCCCCGTCTTGCTGCTGCAGCAGCGGGGCAACTGAGGCCCAACCGCGTTCCGGTGTATGGGCAGCTGAGACGGAGGCCCTTCTGTCTTTGCTGTTGCCGCTGCCTACGGAGGAGGGCTCGGAGGGCAGCAGCGGCCGTTGCTGCTGCTGCAGCAACCTAAAAGGAGAAGCTACGGCAGGGTCTACAGCAGCCCCCACAGCGACCTCTACGTTTAAGGGCCCCTGCATCAACAGCTCATGATGCCGCTGCTGCAGCGGAGTGGAAGCCGGCAGCAAATCACTCGCCACAGAGCTGAATGAACTGCGCCTCGAGATACCCTGCTGCACTGCTGCTGCTGCTGCAGCAGCAGCTGCAGCAGCAGCCGACTGCCACGGCAGCAAGGTCCACTGGTTCGCTCCACTGGCTCCCGCCGGCCGCCAGCTGCTGGGGGATGAGCCCAGCGCCGGCGCAGCACCAAGTGCAGCAGGAGGAGACACAGAAGCAGCGAGGCTTGTTGTGCTGCTCTCAGCAGAAGCAGCTGTTGGAGCATAACCAACCCCACCGGCCGGCGCCCTTAGGGCCCCCAGCTGCAGCAGCTCCTGCCGCAAAGCAGCAAACGGAGACGCAGCAGCACCCGGAGATGCCCGGAAGGGAGTAGCGCTTTGGGGCTCGCCCAAAGACCCCAAGAGCCTGAAACATACACATCACTGACACGGATGTCCTGCTATAGCTGCTGCTGCTGCTGCTGCTGCTGCTATACCCGCTTCAGCTGCCGCTGCTGCAGGTGGTGCGGCTGCAGGGAATTGGCGGCTTACCTCGAAAGTGCAGCCGACCCTTGAAGGCTCTGGGCTTCTTTGCGGTTGCTGCTGATGTGCTGCAGCAGCACTTCAGGCTCCGCACTGTTGCTCGCTGCGACATCGGTCAGCGCCAGTGGAGTGTCTTCCCCGAATTCTTGGGGATCTTGCTTTTGCTGCTGCTGCTGCTGCTGCCTACGCCGTTTGCGGCGCCCAAAGCCACGGGTTGGGCCCAAGAATGCTGCGAGGCCGTCGCGCCGTCTGGCAACCGTTCCAGCGTTGCTGCTGTCTCCTGCTGCTGCTGCTGCTGCTGCGCTGCTGGTTGCATCTAAGGCGAGGAGCTGCAGGCGGGCCCACAGAGCCCTCGTCTCCTGAGCGAGCAGCAACACGCAGTGCCCACCAGCAGCGCATGCAGTTGGGGGCTTTGCTGCGGTGTACGTACACCTCCCAGCCCCCGCAGCGGAATCATCTCGTACTCACCTGCAGCGTTAAAGATATCAACCCCGACGCCACTACAGCAGTTGCACACAGCAGCTGCGGCACCAGCTGTCCGTACACCGCACTTGCAGCAGAGAACGCAGCGTCATCAGCAGTCACCCCACAAGGAGGCAGCAAATCTTCCTCCAGCCGAGCTGAAACCCAACTGCAAACGACCCTGAGATCCGTCTGCAGCAGCACCTGTCTGCAGCAGCAGCAACACCAACAGCAGCAGAAGCAGAAGCAGCACAGCGCACGTGTGTGGCACAGAGCTCACACCTCAACGAGCTTTCTGCAGTTCAACTCTTAAAAGAATTCCAAACAGTTCAATAATCAAAACGAATTAACGGTGAAGCCACTCCGCCAATCAAAACAGCTTAGCTACTTAAATACAAAAGTATCTAGCAAAAAAGTAATTTAGCAATACGAATAAGTGAGGCGTGAAAACAATTCAGCAATATCAGAATTCAGCAATCAAAATATTAAAACATTAAAAAAACAATTTAGGGGGAAAAACAAGGAAAAACAAAAACAATTCAACATGAAAAACGACGTCACACGAAAAATGCTTCAATAAAAAATATTTCAACAATAAAAAATACTTCAGCAGTGAAAATAATTCAACAATGAAAATAATCCAACAGTAAAAATAATTCAGCAACTAAAATAATTCAATATTTGAAATAATTTACAATGAAAACGACTCAACATTTACAAAACAAGACATCATCGGATAGGCAATAGGCGATTCACCCTTTAAAATACTGCATATCTTATCTATAAAATTCAATTCAATTAATAAAGCGCAATAAAAACCAAAGAATAACGAAATAATACAACCTTAATCCAGAGAACAGTGCAAAGAAATACCCCGAACAACAAAATAATGCAATTTCAATACAAAGAACAATGCAAGAAGCATCTACCACACAAAATAATACAGCTTTAATCAAAAACATAGTGCAAAGAAACACCTCTAATACCATATAATACAATATTAATCTAAAGAACAGTGAAAGAAAACACCTAAATTACCATATAATGCAATGTAAATAGAGTCAACAGTGCAAGACAAAAATCTAAAACCCAACATAATGCATCACCAAACCGAAGAACAATGCAAGAAAATACCTAAAAAAGCAATACAATACGACGTCAACCCAAAGAACAATGAAAGAAAACGCTTAAAAGAATATAATGTAGTTCCAACCCAGAGAACAGCGCAAGAAAATACGTAACGCATTATAATTGACGATAACGGGAAGAGGAGCCAATACAAATATTCACAATGCAAACAATATAGAGCACAAAATAACACCTAAAGATATTTTTATAAAGAACAACACAACACCTAAAGATGTTTTCTTTCATTACAGCTGCACACACAATACCTTTTGCTGCTTTGCAGCCAAACGAGTTGTCTTGCTTTAAATGCAGACAAAGAAATTATGCATGCAATCGAAGCGAGAAGCATTTAAGCCAAAGTGAAGCCCGTGTAGCTCTTCTAGGGTTTAGGGTTTAGGGTTTAGGGGCTAGTGTTTACGGTTTAGGGTTTACCTTTTGCGTAATTTCTTAGGCTCGAAGGAAACTCGCCACAACTCGCGCACAGGCGGAGGGGCGCTTGAAAGAACAGCAAACGCCTCCCATGGGGCTTCATTTCCGTAAGAGAGAGCCAAGGGCTGCTCGCTGGAGGGGGAAGAGGATGCAGCCGCAGCAACAGCAGCAGCAGCAGCACCAGCAGCAGAAGGGCAACGCTGCAGCGGAAGCAGAGCGAGCGCGTTAGGAGAGCCCTCAGCTGCTGCTGTAGCAGCAGCAGCAGAAGGGTGTCTGAGGCCGCTGCCGCTTCCTGAAGCTGCTGTCTTCTCGTTGTCGCTGGGAGCTACGGAGAAGGCAGCGGCAGGGTACAGATGGCCCCCAAGGCCGCCCACTCCCACAACATTTAATGCAGTGTTGCTTTGAGGGGGTTCATTCTCTTCATTAGAAACAGAAGAAGAAGACAGCCCGCCAGCGAATGCAACAGCAGAAGAAGCCATTGTCGTTCGTTCCCTTTAAAACCAACCTTCCGCAGGCACCACACACTGCTGCTGCTGCTGCTGTGGTGCTGTTGCTGCTGCTGCTGCTCCACCCTGGCGACCCCAGAAGGCACCTTGCGAATTCTGGGAGGCAGGCGGAGAGGGGGCCCTAAGACAACCCCATGGAGGCCCCCACCCGCCTGCAGCTGCAGCAGCAGCTGCTGCTGCTACTGCAGCGGAAAAACTCAAGACTGGTCGATTGAAAAGAGGCCAGAGCCCCCAGCGAAGGGACACCTACTGCGTTGCTGCTGATGCAGTTGTTGCTGCTGTTGCTGTCGGTGCTGCTGTTGCTGCTGCCAGTGGCGTCGCCAGTGTAGCAGTTGCTGCTGCTGCTGCTGCCTCTGCTGGTGTGGCCGCTCGTCTTGCTGCTGCTCATGTCGCTGCTATAAGCTCAGAATGAGTTGCAGGGTTTGCAGGTTTCAATATGCTGTTCTATGAGAAGGTTACCCTTAGGGGGGAGCAAGTAACACACCACCCCCCTTGGGCGGCTGTGTGGCGGGGGTAAGGCGGCTCTCTTTGAAACAAAGCAGGTAAAAATAAGCCAATAAATTTAAACATTAACTCTAATAGACAAGAAAAAATAACTCAAGGTAAAACAGAGCCCCAGCAGCCCCCGAAGGGGCCCCCAACACCAGCAGCAGCCGCAGCCCTCACAAGCGCAGCAGGCAGTTAATTGCAGAAACTTGCGGCTATTAGAGGGCTCTAAGGAAACTCAAAGGAGAAAATGTTTAATTTATTGTAATTAAATACAATATTTCATAATGTCTGTTTCAGAGGGTGCGCCCTCAGAACCTAGGCCCTCCGCGCTAATACAAACGTTCTAGCGCCATATACAGCAGTGGAGGGAGACGTTGCAGGCTTCTTTCAACGCTGAGACATATTGTTGTCTTCCTCTGCTGCTGCTGGCTCTTTTTGAAGCTGCTGCTGCTGCTGCTGCACCAGCAGCAGCAGCAGCAGCAGCAGAACTTCAAATAACAGCTCGGCGCAAAACGCGACGGACCCCGTAGCGCCGCATCAGATACTGAACTAGCAGCAACAAACATAAGCACAGCTACAGCAGCCAAGGCAGCAATAGCAGCACAGCCCCTGCAGCAAGAGCAGCAAACACAACAGCAACAGCAACAGCAAGAACCTCTACAGCGCAGCAGCACGGAGCAGCAAAGGACGCCGCATCAAGAGGAATTTAGAATGGCTCGTCTCGAGTCTTCCGCAGCGGACCCAGGGGCAGCAACTACCATCCATGCTGCAGCAGCAGCAGCCGCAGCTCTATATGCAGCAAGAACCGCCACGAATGCAACAACAGCAGCAGCCACAAGGGAAGCAGCAAGAGCATCAGCTTCACATGAAGCAGCAGCACCCACAAGAGCAACAGCTGCAGCAGCCACAGGCGCAACAGCCAGGGCGGCAGGAGCCACTGGTGCAGCAGCAGCTGCTGCACTCAGTTGCTGATGGCCTGCCGCTGTCTTTTATCAGTTCTGCATCGCAAGAAGGGCAGTACCCCAGCGGGGACCTGCAGCAGCAATCGCAGCAACAACAGCAGCACGAGCAGCAGAAGCAGCAGCATTCTAACAGGGTCACTGACGCCTTTCAGGTCAAGGCTGAGAGTGGAATGGAGGACGGCGGCGCTGCCGACTCCACAGGCAGCAAACGCAGCCGCTGCAGCAGCAGCAGCAGCAGCAGCATTTCCTGCAAGGAGTGCCAAGGCCTCTACTTTCACCCTCCGAAGTTCGTTGCGCCTCCTGCACAGAGCCAAGAGGAGCTGCTGCTGCCCCCGCCTCCACCGCAGCTTCGCTGGGACCTCTTGAAGCAGGCTGAGGCCCTTCGGCATCACTGCATCATCCCCAGCAGTAGCAGCAGCTACAGCAGAAGCAACAGTGGCAAGGCTGCTTGGTGGTCTGCTGCAGCACAGAGGGAGTTGTTCTTATGCCCTTATGATGCTGCGGGCTTCCCTCGCGAACTCAACGGCCTCCCCACGAAGAGAAAGCTGGCAGAAAGAGGCGCCGTGTCTGTCGACTTAGGAGCCCAAGTACACAGATATGACCAGCAGCAGCAGCAAGAGCAGCAGCAGCAGCAACAGAAACAGCAGCCGCAGGAGCAGCAGCAGCACCGGCTAAAACTCCAAAAGCAGCAAGAAGCAGGCTCCACGAAGCACGAACCCCCCACGGATCCCGATACCACTAGCACCGGCACTAACGCCCATAACAGCGCAGACATTAACAGCAGCAACAGCAGCAACAGCAGCAACAGCAGCAGCAGCACGGGGCCGTGTGGCCGTTGCAGTGGCTTAAAGCTAAGGTTCGACCTGCCTCGAGCTGCACCCAATCCCCCCTTGCCAGAGCCTGCCCGCAGGGGGCCTCTAATAGGTAGAGCCTTGCGCCGCCTCCGGCAGCAGCAGCAACAGCAGCAGCGGGGCCATGCTTCAGACGATAGCAGCGCGAGCAGCGGGAGCGACATTGCTGCTGACGAGCTGCTGCCAGATGCCTATCTCAGTTTAGGGGGGCGGCCCCGCCCCTGCAGGGCCTCGCACATGGAAGCAGATTGGCTAATGAGGCTGCAAGACCCCCCCCAAGGCATTGAGGGTCTTGACATATTTGCTGCTGCTGCTGCTGCTGCCGTTGCACCTGCTGCCCTTCTGACTCCGCTAGTGAACCACGCTGCCTTAGAAGCGCTCCTCAACTCTACCAGCCCCCCCACTAAGGCTTGCAACCGAGGCAGCAGCGGCAGCAAGTGCAGCAGCAGCACCACCGCCAACGCCAGCAGCAGCACCAACAACACCACCAGCAGCAACAACAACACCAACAGCAGCAGCCCCGACTGCAACCACAGCAGCAACTGCAGCAGCAGCAGCCTTGATGATCTAGAAAGCATCCTTGACCATGAGGCCGCTTACCGGCCCCCAACCTACCTCGAACGCATTGCGGCCTTTGCGCATGCAAGGGCTCTGACAGCTCCCGCGCTGCGCCTGTCGCTGCCGCAGCAGCAGCAGCAACAGCAGCAGCACTGCGAACAGAGGCAGCCGCTGCCGCTGCTTGCGGCCCTCATCTCGCGCAGCATCATGCGGCATGGGTCGGAGGGAGGAGCGGCAGCTTCCGCTGCAGCAGGAGCAGCATCAGCAGCAGAGGGCCTCCGCCTACGCCGGAAGGGCTTCAGGCCGCTGCAGGGCGAAGCTTCTCATTTGGATTACCGTCTGCTGCGGAAGGCCTTGCGTTGCTTCGGGCGCAACAAGTGTGCCCTTAGCAGAAGCAGCAGCAGCAGCAGCAGCAGGGCGTTTGCTGACTTCACTGCCGTCAAGGCGAGACTCGAGGGCCTTGCTTGCGGAGATATTCCCTTCGACCCAGATGGCTTATGGCTGAAGACGCAGCAGCAGCAACAGCAACATCAACATAGGCAGCAGCAGCAGCAGCAGACGCTGGATGGCTTTGGCAGCTCGGATAGCTCTGCACTTCCCCTAATGCACGCCGCGATGCGGCGGGTGCGGCTGTCGGCGAAGTACAGACACCCGAGTGTCCGCATCAGCAGCAGCAGCAGCAGCAGCATCAGCAGCGGGAGCGGGAGGGCGCAGGGGATAAACTTTTGGCAGAGAGCTTCTGTAGGTGTTGGCTGTGGGGTGGTGCTGGCAACGCATGCTGCTTCTTCAGGTGCTTATTATTTTGAGGTGATCGTGGGTCCTGTGCCCAGCGAGCAGCAGCAGCAGCAGGTGATGCAGCAGAGCCAGCGAGGTCTGCCGCCTCAGGAGGAAGAGCAGCAGCAGCAGCAGCAGCTAGAGGCCTCTTCGCAGTGCGATCTCCGTGTGGGGTGGAGCACAAGGCGGCATCCCCCAGCAGCGCCTTTGGGTGCTACCCCTTACTCTGCAGCCCTCACACTCCGAGGTGCGGCGGCCTGGGCTGGGTTGGAGCTGCCTTGCTTCTACCCTCCGTTGAAGGAAGGGGATGTCGTCGGCTGCTGCATTCGTCTACTGCAGGAGCCGCAGCAGCAGCAGCAACAGCAGCAGCAGGAAGCGCAGCGGCAACAACACGAAAAACAGGCATTCGGGGGTGCAGCTGCGGCAGGAGTAGCAGCAGCAGGAAGAGCAGCAACAGCAGAAACAACAACAACAGCAGCAGCAGCATCAACAGCAGCAAGAGCAGCAGCAGGTACCGGGTGTGGTGATGCGTACCGTGTATCGAGTTGGATGGATGCAGATCGTTTGGCTCAGGGGTTCCACCGCAGCGCGGCGGGTTTGAGTGACAGCAGTAGCAGCAACAGCAACAGCAACATCAGCAGCAGCAGGGAGGAGGCTGCATGCGGGGGGTTGCGTTTTGCAGGTTTGGGTTCTTATGTGGAGTTTACTGTAAACGGTGTGTCTTCAGGGGTGTGCGCTTTTGGGGCAGCAACAGCAGCAAGCAGCAGCTGCTGCGGCCTCCTTGCTGATGAGTACTTTCCGGCTGTCTCGCTTATGGGGGGCGGCAGCTGCGCAGTGAACTTCGGCCCCTCTTTCTGCTTTCCCCCGCCTGCTGCTGCATCGCCCTACCAACCTGCTTGTTTGCTGCCGCTGCCGCGAGCAGCGCCACTCACCTGTGATGTATACAGCTGCCTTCTGCTGCAGCACCAACTTGTAGCGGACCCCCAGCGCCTCCTCCTCAGACCCCGTACCCTCGCAGACGTCGTCCAGCAACGCGTACTCGGAGACAACAAACAGCAACAACAGCGCCAGCAGCAACAGCAGCAGCGGCAGCAGCAGGATGGGACCCTACACAATCCCCCACTAAAACGAGAAGTTTCGAACTGCGTAGATCGCAGCAACGAAGCACCGCTAGCAAGCAGCCCAAACCCGCTGAAACCTGAAGCGCCACACAAGGTATCCACTGAAGCACACCAGCAGCAGCAGCAGCGGGGGGAAGAACCAGACCAACAGGATGCAAAATCCGAGGGCCCTGCCTCTCAGTGCGATATCATTAGCAGTAGCAGCAGCAACAGCTGCTTCTCTACGAACGACTCAAGCAACAGCAGCAGCAGCAGCGCGATGGATGCGTTGGACTCGGCAGAGGCGGCAATGCTCCGCACTGCCGACGCTCTGCTGCGGTCCCCTGAGGAGGTCAGACAGCTGCGGAAGGGCCTGCAGCGGCAGCAACAACAACAGCAGCTGCTGCAGTCAATCCACCGCTGCGCGTTTCAAGCTCAACTTAGAAGCTGCAGCGCAGTGCTCGAGGAAGCAGCAAGACATTGGCGAGTCCGCCGGGCCCACCGCGTCCGCAGGAAGATGCCTTGGGTCCGGCACAGAAGCAACCTGCGCAGCAGCAGCAGCAGCAGCACCAACAGCAGCAGCGGCAGCAGCAGTGACAACAGCAGTGATGAAGCCGCCTGCGGTTTTTCGTCGCGAGAAGCAGGTGAAACAAGTGAGGCTAGAAGCTTTGGCCAGCAGCAGCCCCAAAAAGAGGTTATACCTGCAGTAGCAGCAACTGCTGCTGCTGCAAGTCCAGTAAAAACGGATTCGTCGTTGGCTTCAGGATCAGTGCCTTCGAAGGAGGGCGGGAAGTGCAACACCAACACCGTTAGCGCCAGCAACATTAGCAGCGACAGCAACAGCAGCAGCAGCAGCAGCGGCACTCCTTATGTAGACTTCAAGCACCCGTGCAGCGTCCTGTTCTCATTTCTACTGCCCACACTGCGGGGCCTTCATCCCCCCGCACCACTACGGCTGTCAGGGCCCTCCATAGGGGGAGGGGAGGCAGCAGCAGCGGCAGCACCAACAGCAGCCGCAACAGCAGCAGCAGAAGCCGCCGCAGCTTGGAGGCGCTTTGTGTTTCTCTTCTGGTTGGTTGTGGCGCCCCTTGATAGTCAGCGGCGGCCCCTCAGCCCTGCAGTGTTTGTTAACAATGATGCGGTGGCTGCCCACCGCAAGACCAGGCCCTCTGCAGCGGTGCGTGCTGCTGCTGCTCCTGCTGCTGCTGCTCTTCCAGGCCCTGTTGGAGCAGTCCCTGCTGCCGGATCGGATGCTGCAGCAGCGGCAGCAGCCGCGGGGGCCAAGGGCAGCTCTCAGCCTGCAGGTCGCTGCGGCCGCTCTGGCAGGGGACCCTCACGGCGCAAAGGAGGCGTTGGTGGCGGTGCAGCTCGGGGCACAGCAGCAGCAGCAGCAAGTGCTGCAGCTGCTGCTGTGCCTTACGAAACGGTGCAGGTGGGGCAGCTCATGCTGCAAGTTCCGCAGGGCTCGCTGGCAGACTGGGCTGATGAGGAGGCCCCGCCTGAGCCAGAGGCCGCCATAGAAGTTCTAAAAGGGAAGCGAATAGCGCCGGGAGGCGTCAGCAGCAGCGCTGCTGCTGCTCCTAGTGCTGCTGCGGAAGACGACGTGGGCGCGCTGGCGGCGGCCCTCGTGGAGCCGCTGCCGCTGCCTGTTGTGCTGCAGCGGCGCATCGGGGTGAAGCCGCGGCAGCTGCTGGAGGCGCTTGGCTGCAGGTTTCGTGTGGTATCGCTCGAGCTGGCGGGAAGCCACGCAGCAATTGCAGGGGTTAGGTGTATCTACACTGCAGTCGTGCGGCTGCGGCAGCTGCAGGCGAAGGCCCAAGCAGCAGAGGAGGAAGCAGCAAAAGACGTGGCCTGTGAGTTTTGGCTGGAACAGCACTGCGGCGCCCTTTGCGGCTTCTAAAGAATAGGCGTCCCTCGTTCGCTGCTGCTGCTGCTGCTGCTGCTGCTGCAGTGTACGACGAGACATAAGGCGTCTAGGTAAGCAGAGACCGGACAGACAGTTTGAATTGTCTCTGCTTATGACGACTTAGAGCAGAATTCCCTCCCTTAAGACCCTCAGCAGCATGCGGCTAGCAGATATATGAAGGCCCCACACGAGGGCGCGTTCTTTGTTTTTCTGCAACATCACGCTGCTAGTAGCAGACCTTTGAATAGAGGCTCCCACGAGCATCAAACCCCTTTACTGCAGGATTTACTTCAACTGCAGCTGTAGGTGTAGCTGTACATGTAGCTGTATCTCCCTTGCTTGTAGTGCTGACTTAAGGGGACAGCCTGCGCTCTTCTCTGTTAGTGTTGCGCTGTCTGCCCTCGCGGGGTAGCTGTGCTGCTGCTCGCCACTGCTGCAGCAAAGCCTCGTCATTTTTCTGTAGGGGGGGCTCGCGGCAGCTGCAGCAGCTAAGGGATGGATGGCTACGTACATAACCGCTGGGGGCCCTTCTCAGCCTTTGGGGCTTTGGAGGCCCCTGGTCCTCAACGTGGAGGTTTACAGCGGCTTCCTTGAGATGGGATTAGCCTTCACCCAGGGCGATACGGCGCAGCCAACAAAAAAGAAACGAAATCAAAGTGCAGCGCTGCTGCTGCTGCCACCTGCCCTGTTGCGCAGCAACAACAGCAGGCGGGGCTTTCTTTGATTCCTACAGCCTGCCGCAGGCAAAAGGGACGCTAAGGCCTCTCAGTCGCACACTAGGGGTCCATACACCCCCTGCTAGGGCTAGAAGCTGCCCGCCGCAAGACAGTGCTGCTCCACGCTTCCCCTTCATAGAAAAAAATGCAGCGCCAACGGCACTGGCGAGCTGAGGCCGCTGCACCAAATGCAGCACAAAGTGCAATGGACAGCTGCAGTTGTTCCTTGCTGTTGTGGGCGGACAGCAGCAACCCAAAAGAGCAAGGCATTTGAGAGAGACAGCAACCGCCCTGCAACGGGGCAAGCCCAGGAGAAGACCGATGCCCACGCAGTGCACAATTGTCTTGGCATCCGGGCTGTCTCAGCTCAACAGAACGCGCATTTTAATTCAAAGGTTGGGGCTTAGGGATTAGAGTTAAGAGCGGCAGGGTCTGCAATGTGTAGAGAACGGGGGCAGACTGTTTGTTGGCCGTACAGTTCTCTCTGGGCGCTGCTGTTCTGAGCTCATGCCCCTTCGTTCCCTTACGTTGCTGCTAAGGCAGCACCTTCGCTCTGGAGGCCCCTTGAGGCCCCCAGGACTACTTGCCGCTCTTGTACGGGGCAGGGAGGGCGACAGGCTGCAAAGGAGAGTGCAGGGCTCTGGCTTAAACGAGAGCTGCGGAGACTTTGTCTTCTTCGAGGGGCGCTCCCCCCAGGCCCATCCCGGATGGATGGGCTTCCCTCTGGGGGGTGTCTCTGCACTTCCGCAAATGCAGCTAACTATTTTCCAGCTAGCGTTGCATCGCATGCACACCAAAGAAGACGAGCCTCACCCTGTCTCTCTCTGTTTTGTGTTTTGAATGCTGGGTAAATGCGCTGCCTATGTGCTGTCTGTACACAAGAGAGGCTACGCAGAACGGTTTTGACAACCGGAGAGGCCTGCAACTGCCGAACACAGCGCGTTTCAGTGAGCCTGCAACTAAAACACCTTAAACTGCAGCACACAGAAACTGAAAACGGAGACCTGGTAAAGAGCCTACTGCAGTTTAAGGCGTTTTAACTGCATTTGAAGATCCCTCGCCTCCACCTCCAAGAGCAATGCGAAGCAACCTGCAGCCCATTGGGTTGCTACTCATCAGCAGTCGTACCATTCCGCGGGCTGGTGCAGCCTTCTACAGGCTGCTGTTATTGATCTCACGAGTAGTTCAGCGCTGTCTCTCAGGTGTACAGACAGCGCACTAGCCGTGCGTCTAGAGATCCTTTGAAGGGCGCCCCTCAGGGCAAGGAAGCGGATGCAATTTCTAAGGCCTCATGCAGCGCATGCAGAGTGGCAGGTGATGCCTAAGAGGCAAATTCTAGAAGATCCGACGCAGAGAAAACAGGCTGTCGTTTAAAGCATAAGCTGCACTCTGTGGGGTCCACGATTCCCCTCCACTTCCCCCTCTGGGATTTCAATCTCTTAAGGAAAGTGCGCATTGCTCGGCTCCACTCTGTTTCTGCTAAGCAGCAGCTCTAGCGCTGTGCTTGTGCCCTAAGGCCTGAAGTGTACAAACAGCAATTCGCCGCTACGCGGAAGTAGCACTGCACGCTGCTCTCGCAAAATCTTTTTGCAGCTTGCCAGTCGGATAGGGAACACTACACAGATAGGGGGAGGCCCTGAGTAACATAGTCGCATCATGCTGCAACAATAGCCATTCAAACAACAGCTACAGCGGCATCAGCACAGCAAACAGCAGCAGTAACAGCCACCGCAGCAGCAGCAGAAAGGCCGCCCCAGCAGCCATAGCTAACGCAGGAGTCAATGAAGCAGTATCAGAAACAGCAAGCAAGCATATAGAGAAATAACAGAGGAAAAACACCGCGGTCAGCCATAGTGCGCGCAGGAGCCAGGCACCTATACACCATTAGCAGCAAGCGAACACCAGCCCGGAAGCCAACACCAATATTAGAAGCAACTATTACTGTCTGTCAGTTGCTGCATTTGCTGTTAATCTCTTAGAAGGAGATTAATAGTCGCTGCTCACGCCGGAGCTGCTAGCCGAGCGTAGCTGCTTGTGTACGTAGGGAAGCTTCTGTGTAAGAGCGCGCGTAGTAACAAAGGAGTTAGACGACCCAAGTCAATTAACATAATAATAATGATAAAGAAGACGCTTCATAATAACTTCACAATAAACAAATAGAATGCAGCTACAACAAAGACAGAAACACCGCAGCAAGCCTCCGCATGCAAAGGTCCCGCCCCCGCGCCGGTGGGTGCAGGCGGCTTTGGCTGCTAGGGAGCGTTTTCTTGCTTAGCTTTAAAGTGAATGATATATTTATGTAATATCAGTCAAACACTTAACTCCACTCCTCACTAACGAACACAAGTACCGCTGCAGCTGCTACAGCCTCAACGGCAGATAGCGAGCCCTGCGCTTCCTGCAGTGTGGCCGTATCCCTGTGCTGCTGCTGCTGCTGCTGCTGTTGCTGCTGCTGCCGTTGCTGCTGCTGCCGGTGCGGCTGTTTCTGCTGCTGGCCTAACAGTTGGCAGTCGAGGAGGCAGCAACTCGAGCGGTCCTCCCCACATCTTGCATCTTTTTGCTGCTCTTGCAGCAGAGTCCTGTCCTGTAGCTGTCATTCCGTTACTCGGCTTCCGCTCTTCTGCTTCTATCTCTACTAGGCGTTCCATCGCTGCTTCGCTGCTGCTGCTTGGAGGCTCTTTAAGGGCCTGAAATGAGGAGCCAGGTGGCGGCGTAGCGGCAGCTGGGCCCCCTGTTCCTGTGGGTGCGCCGCGCCGATGTCCTCTCACCCGCGAGGCAGCAGCTGCGGGTTTTCCGTTTGAGGCAGTTGGGAGGAGCGTCGGCTGCTGTTTGATTGCTGCAGGGCTTGGGAGGGCGGCTTTCTTTCTCTAGCAGGCCGTTGGCTGAAGGGCATCGCCTGCACGGCTGTTGTTGCTGCTGTTTCCTCAGCTGTCTATGGGCTGCTGCGGGTGTCCCTTGGCTGATACTGTTGGAGGCGTACAGCTTCTGAAGGCGCCTTGGGCAGCCTGCAAGCCAGCGAAGCAGCTGCAGGCCAATGGAGACAGAGGACGCAGCAGCACCAGCGAAAGCTGCGGCCGGAGATGAAGAGCAGCAGAGCCAAACACCCTGCGCAGCAATGCAAACATCCCTCGCCCCGCCTGTTGCTTCCGGTGCTGCAGCAGAAGCAGCAGCAGCAGCTGACGGCGACGACAAGGCCGAGCAAACAGCCAAGCGGCAGCGGCTCAGCAGCGAACGAGAAGCAAATAAGGAAGAGACAGAGGAGCAGACAGCTGGAGGTTCAGCTCCTGAGGCGGCACTTAGCGCTGAAGATAGCCGCTTGAGGCAGTCTCCTTACCCAGCTGTAGCCGCAGACCCGCATTCCAATTTTGCACAAACAGGACAGCAGCAGCAGCACCAGCAGGAGCAGCAGCAGGAGGACGAAGCTGCAAGGACAGAGGGCGGCTGCTTTTCAAGCGGTATGCCCGCTTGGGTTTCTGCTGCTGCATCTTCTGCTGCAGACAGTGCTGCTGCAGCAACTGAGCCTCAGCAGGGCTTTGGGGGTCTCCACTTGGGTGTCTTTTTCGGCTCTGGCGGCGATGCCGATGCAGTCAGTAGCGGCAGCCTCAGATGCCCTGACATATCATCAGGGCCCCCTCCGCAGCTCAATACCAGCCTGGAGGCCCCATTTGGGGGCCCCCCAGCGCCGCCACATGCGCCGGACCCTCAAAGCGGGGGCTCCGCCACTGTTGATTCCACCAGCCCCTCAGGGCTATCCGCAGATACTTCCGACTTTCCGGGGCCCCTTGGGGGGGCCCCAACAGCAATAGCCTCGCACGGGGACCCCACAGGGCACAGTTCAAGGGCAACAGGAGGCCCCCTGGAGGCACCGCACTGGCCAGCTGCACAGGCGGAGGCAGCAGCAGCTGCTGCCTCCGCTGCAGATGCTGAAGCTGTTGTCGATGCAGCGGAGCCAGTAGAATTTCGAGCAAGAAAGGGGCAAGCTGAGGCAGCAACTGGAGCTGCAGCTGCAGCAGCAACAGCAGCGCCTTTTGCACCTTTGAACTCTGAGGCAGCCGGGGATCCCCCTGCGACCAACCCGAAGGCTGAAGGGGATGGCCAGGGGAGCAGCCGCAGCAGCGCTGGCGCCTCAGCAGATGCAGCAGCAGCAGAAGCAGCAGATGCTGCAGCAGCAGCAGAAGCAGCAGATGCAGCAGATGGAACGAGTGGAGAGTCAGTGACTGTCTCGGCGGAAGAGGACCTTTATCATGTATCTTCATCTCCACTAGGAGCACCCTCTTCTTCTTCTTCCCCTTCATCTTCTGCTGCTGTTGCGGGGGTGACAAATGGCAGCGCGAACATCAGCAGCGAGGAAGGCGGCAGCAGAGGGAGAGCAGAAGAAGCGGCAAGCAGCAGCCGCTGGCCGCGCTTACCTGCTTCGGCTTGTGTAGAGAGCCGGTCTAGCGGGGCAGCGAGGAGCGCTACGGAAAGCAGCAGCAGCAGCAGTAGTAGTAGCAGTAGCAGCAGCAGCAACAGTAACAGCAGCGGTGCCGGGGCTGAAGTGTTGGTGGCTGAGGAGGATGGTGTGGGGGAGGTGAATGAAGTGATAGATCTCAGCGCCTCTGAAGCTGCTGACTCCGATGCAGCAGATGATGTTTCCGTGCTGTATGTGGACACGGATGCTGTTTGCCGTGACAGGAGCTCTGGCGGCTCTGCTGGGGGGAGCGTAGCAGCTGGGGGTGCGGGGGTGCAGGGCCCCTTAGCTAGCCCTGGGGCGCTGCATGGGAGCTCCTCTGCTGCTGCAGCAGCAACAACACCAGCAGCAGCAGCAACAGCTCAAGCGGCAGTTGTGCTGGACTCAGACGACGATGATGTAGTGGAGCTTCGGTGCCATCACGCTGCCCCTGCGCCGTCATATGCGCCGCACGGTTATGTCTGGAGGGGTCCCATGGGGCTGCAGCCGTATGGCATGGGCCCCCTGCAACTCGTGCCTTACAGTCGACCGCCGCTGGGCGTAGAAGAAAGGGAGGAGGAGGAGACAGCCAGCAGCGCGGCGCTCCCCCGCTGCCCCATTTGCCTCAAGAAATACAGACAGCAGCAGCAGCAGCTGCAGCTGCAGCAGCAAGAAGGCGACAACAGCGAGCAAAAACCGGCAGAACGGAGGCAGGGCGGCAGTGGCGACCCTTCAGAAGCTAATGCAGAACACCGAGGGGCTTCAGGCTCTCCTGGAGGACACAGCAGTGCAGATCACCCGCAGCAGCAGCAGCAACAGCAGCAGGCGCAGCAACAGCCGTGGCAGCAGCAACAACTGTTGCAGGCTCGCGCTCCTTTTGGGGTGCCGGGGGCCCCGTTAGGTGGATCTGTACCACAGCCTGAGAGCGACCATGTGGTGGCACTGCGATGCGGCCATGTGTTTTGCAAGACATGCATTCTGGCAGCGCTGCGGACGCGGCGGCAGTGCCCTGTGTGCCGCGTTGTGCTCAAAGGCAACAAGCCGTACCAACGCATCTTCCTTTAGAGCTGGAGCTGTGGTGCTGCCGAGCCAGCAGCACAGCACAGGCAGCCCCAGTGCATAGAAATTAACAACGCACTGAGGAGCGAGAGGGGTTGCGGGGGTTGGTTTGGACGGCTTATGCCATGGAGTTGCTACGGGGGTGATGAGGCGCCCCCGCCTGCTCCACCTGGTGAGGCTCCCAGCTCAACTGCTGCCTGCCAAGCCTTACCTTAGCAACAGGGCAAACGGTGTGCCGATATTGTGGGCAGACCACCGCACCGCCCTGTGTTGCCCGAGAGGGCAGTGTCTGCGGTGTTACGTCCACCGTTCTCTAGTGGACAGAAGAGTTTGCAGTTTTCTGTTATATGTGTGAAAGAAGATCGTTTAGTTGCTGAAGCGGCGCCTGCCGTCATCCCATACCATAGGGTCACCACACTACGTGGCCAGTTCAGCGCCTTCCCGTTGCGTGAACGCCTGCTGTAGTGTAGGGAACTTGGCTACATTTGAAGCAGAGCTGGGCACTGCGCGTACAAGTCTCACGCTGTAGTGTAGGTGCTAGAGCCAGCCAGGCGCTTGTGTACTTTTAAGTATTTCCCTTAGGCCTGTCCGTCAGGAGCTGCTAGGCAGCGAACACCCCTCCCTACCAGGGTCACCTGCACTTGCACGAACACTTCCAACTTTTTAGAGGCGATGCACAGAGGAACCTGTGTGGTGGTCAGAAAGCATTAACAGTTTGCGCCTGTCAACAAAAAATTAGGATTGCAAAGAAAACCTTGGAAGAGTGCAGTAGCATAGCATGTGGCGCTGGGGAGACCTGAGGATTGGGGGGTGGGGTTATGTGGGGAGTTGGAGGGCAGCAGCGAGGCTGAGGGGAGATAATGAAGCGTCTCCAAAAGCCTATCTTTTTACATCATAGCAAATTGAATTTTTAAAAAAATTACACCATAAATAAAATACCTTTAAGCCCTTGTTGACAGGACTGGCACTCGGTCCGAATCGTCTAGAGGTTAGGACAACACGTTGTGGCCGTGTAAACCCAGGTTCGATTCCTGGTTCGGACAGGTTTTTTGTTCCTTGTAACGTTACCTTACTTGCTTCTCCTGACCACGTGCGGCGTCTGTGTTTCTATCTCGTGTCCTTACTTGCCTCTGTTCAGCCCCCTATGTTACCCGTCGCTAAGGGACAGAACACCACTCACCACAGCCTGTTTTATGCATGCGCAGCATACATAATACAGTTCCGTGTATGCGGAACCATGCATGGAAGTG